GAGGATCTTCTGGAATTCCCAAAGGTGGACTATGGACCTCCCCTGGGTTGGTGTGGGGATTTAAATTGGTCTTCATCTTTGAAAGACAGGCACTGACAGCTTTACGGCAGCCAAGGAACTGCGATGCGGGAGGAGGAGGGAGGAGAAAAGACGGCAGTGGGCTGGGCAGGCAGGGGAAAGTACCTGAGAAATCTCTCTTCAGGCGCCGAAGTTTCGGGAGCGTTCAGCTGTCTCGTCTACAAGGTCCACAATTCTCTGGGCTCCCCTGTGCAGTCCAGCCCACACACCGCTCAGCCCAAGAGCGGCGGATCCCTCAGGTCAGTCGTGGTGTGCAGGGAGGCCCAGGCGTGCGGGCCATGAGGCAGAGCAGGCTGCTTTGGCCTAGGGCCTAGAGTCAACGCCTGCCAGGTCTAGCACAGTACAGCCTCAGCCCTGAACAGTCAAGGCGCCTGTGGATAAAAACGCTGCTCACGCCCCTCCCTCTCTGCGAGGTGCGGCAGGGCGGGGCTGGAGCAGGAGGGCGGGGCGAGTGGAGACCTGGCTGCACACAACACGCACACACGAGTTCCAGCCATCCAGCAGGGAGCCCACGTGTGTTCAGTGTTTTTGTTGCTACTTTGTCCTAGATTTTGTCTGGGACATTCGTTTATCTTTAAGATCCCACCTTCCACTTGCAGTTCCTTTTTCTTATGTTCATAACCTTCCCTGACACTGAACTGAGCACGCTGGAGGACAAGGAGTGGGCTTGACGCTTATTTAGATGCCGCTGCCTGGGGCACAGTGCGTCTTCAGTAGGTATCACTTGATTAACAGAATACAGTTATTAAGCTTCATAGATTAAAACGGATTTTCGTTTTTAAGGATGCTTTTTATACACGCAGGGTCACCAAGCCCAGGATCTCAGCAAGCCTGCTGAGTGTGAAAATTTGAAGGCTGGCGCCACACAACCTGCGTGACTCAGGTGTGAGCTGATGGAGGTCTTTGGGCCTCGGTTTTCTGTTCTGTGAAGGGAGCGGCAACATGACTCCCCTTGCTAGGCTTCTTCCAGGGACCTGGAGTGTGTTACAGCATGCACAACTGTCCCTGAGAGTAGCCAGGCACTGTGTACTCTTGCTACGGTGTGAAACTGCACTGTGGGTGCGTGATGTCATGAACCAGTCACGGAACTGACTGGTAATTCCTGAAGTGTTCAGATTTGCGCCTGTGCTCACCCCCAAGCATTGACCCTTCCAAAGGAAGGAACCGGACTCGATCTCCCGGCCCCGCTCACCCTAAAGCATCACCTGGGTATGCCTTAGGACTGATCTGAAGAAACTCCAGCTGGCCTGTTACTAAAGGGCTGCTCAAGTCACCGTGGCTACCCTCTGAGCTAAGGGCCAGTGGCCTGAATGCTTCAAGTCGAACAGGCCTGGTTAGAACCTGTTCTCTTTTCCCAAGGAATGAGAGTAATTGCCGTGGCCCTGGAAGCCCCTTGGTAGTCTGTGCATGCAACACAGGGGATGAGAAAGATGCCCCCATCCCAAGACGGAGAGCAAACTTAGATTGTTTCTTTACAGCTATTTATACCTATTTTTAAAAATTGTTTCCATGACAGAGAGACAGAACCGCTCATAAGGTGTTGGTCAACTCTGAAATCCACCCCCAGCTTGCCACCAGCCCCAGATCATTCATGCTCAGGGAGGTCTCTGGATTCAAACCAGGACCTTCCCATGTGGGATTGCCTTACAGAGTGGTACAATTCACTGCTGTGCACTGTCTTGCCCCCTATACACTGAGGGTCTACTTTTTCTCTTATACCTATCTTCATGTATATGCTATTCTGGATATAATTTAACAACACTGTCTGATGTCTGTAATTATAAGTAAAATTATACACACACACGCATATTAATGGCACTTTCTCAAACATACAGATTCTGATAGAAACAGCTTCTCAGGACCGTAATGGTTATGTCACTGGACTCCCATGTAGTTCACTGTGGTTTGAGTCCAGGACCTGGCAGCTTGAAATACACCAGACATGTGTGTTTGTGCCCAAAATCTTAAGAGGAGAATGGAGGAGAAGGGATTGTGGTGTGGCCATCCTCCTGGGGAGTAATTCCTTGCTTTCTCTCTGTCTCTCTGGCGAGCACATGCATGCTATAGCAAAAATCTCTTTAAAAACAAACAAAAAGGACAGCTTCTCAGGTTGGGCAAGTGTGAGGACACCCAATGAAAGGGCTTCGGCACAAACACAGCAGGCAGCCGTGTGGGTGTGCAGGTGTGGGCTTTGGCTTCATGCTCAGGTGCTGGAAAGAAGTGGCTCTTCCTTCTCCACTCTCTTCCGAGGAGCCCGCCCGCACTTCTGTAAACATCTGTAGTGCTTTGCAAACCAGCTCATTCCCTCCAGCCTGCCTCAGGTTCATAGGTGCAGCCTGCGATGGGGTCTTGGCTCCCTGGAGGTTGTAGCTTTACCACATTTCTGCCATTGCTCTGACTGGGAAAAGCCCTGGGAGAAACAGGCTTTCCCTGGTAGAGAATTTAGAGGACTCTGCTGCCTCCCTCAGAGAAGGAGAACCACCTGCTTCATCAGCATAGGGCAGCTCTCCGCTGGTGGCTTGGAGCAGGGGTTGGCAAACTTTCCCTGTCAGGGACACACGGTGGACGTTCTCAGTTTTGCCAGCCTCGTGCCATGCCACAGCTCCGCAGCTCTGCCACTGCAGGGTGGTGGCGGCCATGAGGCGTAAATGGGCTGTATGCCAGGAACTTTACTCACGGACACCGAAATTGAATTTTGTGTACTTTTCACATATCACAAAACATTACAGAAACTTCGATCTTTTTCAAGTCATTTAAAAATGTAACAATTGGGCCCCATGGCCTGATAGTTAAGGGAGCTGGACCTAGTATGGGTGACTGTGTGGCTTATAATCCAGACCTGGTGACTGAAAAAACACACCAGGCATGGGAGTATGACTACCTAAAATCCCAAAAAGAGGAAGACATGGAGGAGAGGGAATTGCAGCATGACCATCCCCCAGGGGGTACTTTCTCTCTCTCCCTCTCTTTCTCTATCTCTCTCTGGTAAGAGCACATGTACTCTAGCAAATTTAAAAACAAACAAACAAAACAAAAAACAGTAAATAATTTTAAGAGAGGGGAAAAATGTAAGAGTCATTCTTAGCTCAGGAACCATACAAAAACATGGGCCATTATTTGTCAATCCCTGGATGAGAGAAAATGTTACATTTTTTTTAAAGTGTAAATAAACATCTTCCCTTGTCTGTAATATGACATAGATACATTATATTTTTTCTTATTGGAGCTAATTTTTCATTAAGCCCCCAGAATAGTTAGCCAGAAACAATTCTAAGAGCATATTAATATGGAACAGGAATCAACGTGACCTCTTCTGTTTACAGTTTTTATTCAAATGAGATGGTGTATGCCATCAGGGTTGTTTTCTTCTTTTATAAGGGGAGCATGGAGAGAAAAATCTCCTTAGTTCAGAATGTACAGAAACTAAATGTTGGAGTAGCCCAGCTCCTGACAAGGCGAAGGGTGAGAGAAGGGTGAGAGAAGAATCAATGTGTATACTTTTTCATCTAAATAGAAACACGTGCTATTAACATTGCATGGCCTTCGAGTATTCTATGTCTCTCTTTCTATGACGCAGTGAAATACTGAAATGTAAACATCAATAATCAAGTACGAAAGCTGCTTAGCGTGCCTTGATTTCAAAACACGTAATTTAGCGTCAGGCTGACATTTAGCAAAGCTGCTAAGCTCACAGTGGTCACTGGACACTCCAGTGTCTGAGGATGCAGAGAGCTGCGCCCTGCTCAGGGCCAGAGCACTGTCTTTGTGACATCACAGCCCCTGTTGGGGGAGCGTGTTCATCAGAAAAGGTGGGGAGCACTATCCTGTCTGCAAACCAGCAGCACAACCTCTTCCACTTACTTAACAGTGCGGGGCTTTACAAGTGCCATTTCCAACGTGGTTTTAGTTTTAACAATTTTTTTTTTGAGAGGTTTTTGCTATAGGGTGCATGCGCTTTCCAGAAAGACAGAGAGAGACAGAGAGACAGAAAGTGAGAAATCACCCCCCAGGGAGAATGGCCACGCCACAGTCCCTTCTCCTCGGGATCCTGGGCACGCATGCACATGTGCCTGGCAGGAGTTTAAGCCACCGGGTCTGGAACTCGAACCACAGTCGACTACATGGGAGTCTAGCGACATAGCCATTATGCCAACTGCTGATCCCGGTTATAACAATTTTATAGTGGAGCATTCTCTACCAATTCAATCATGATATCTCAGTTATTATTTTGCAAATGGCTACATATTCTGAAAAACACTTGTTTTTCCTCATGAGGCTTGTAGTTGTGTTTATTCGAAATATGTATTTAATCCAGGAGGGCCAAATAGTTGACTGGACCACATGCGATTGCTTCTATCACACCTTTAAATAATAATCTCATAGGATTGAACCTATCAGAATATAGGAAATTCACTCTAAATTTGTCTTTCAAAATGTACTGTATTGTTAGTAAATATGATTTCCCCCAACCTTGCCAAGTAGATAGACTCTATCATTAAAAAACACTTACCATCATCAGGCAAATGCATTTTATGTCCTGTATAATGACTGTGCTTTCTTGGGGAATTTACATTCATTAAGTAAGTTAGTAATGATATATAAAGCATTAATATTTCTTCTATCGCTTTTTCTGTGTGGCAAAATGTGCTTACAGTCCCTACTGTAAGCCCACATTCTGTCATTCATAGTATTCCCATGGAGCTGAGGTGGAGTCACATTCTGTTTCCGCCATCATTGTCACAGAGACTGATGAGAAAGGCAGGTCGTAGGCTTATGAGGAGAGTGGAGTGGACACACAACTGCATGTGCACACATGCGTGTACACACACACACACACACACCTTTCATTTTGGAGGATTATATAAGCTAGGAAGCAGGCCTGCCCCATGGACAGGCCACCCAGCAGAGACTTGAATACACACCTGTGCTCGTGCGGTAGGTGCCGGTGTGTGTTGGTGGCAGAGGGTCCCCCTGGCTCTGGCTGAGACTCCTCATAGGGGGCTTTTGATAGACGCGGTCTTCATAGATGGGGTCTATGTGGTGCTCTGGGGACTGCAGGGCCCGCAGCTCTGGGCCCAGGTGGCCATGCTGGCTGCTGTATGAGGCTCGGGAACCAGCTGAAAGAAATTTACAAGCGACATTAAGGCCTGACTAGCATTCAAACCAAACTTATTTTATCAGAGACAGTATTTTTTTTTTTCACAGAACTGTTGAAATCTGCAGAAAAGCAAATGAATAATGTGAAATGTCAGTGATACATCAAGCCAATCAGCTTATCGGCATCAGCCAGCTGCCTTACTTTGCTCACAAACCTGATCTCACATTAAGGAGGATGTTTCTGGGATAAATCCGCAAGAACAAGAGCAGTGACACGTCATTTTTTCACACCCTCACCACTGTGGCTGGGCTCTTCAGTGAAGGAATTGGGCAGCCAGCCCTCCACACCTCTCACTACCCTACTGTCCTTGTGCCTTAACTTGTACCACAGCAATTGATTTGAATGATGAGCAAACGAATAAGCCGCAATGGCAAAGCCATCTCAGTGTTCCTGAAACATGAACTAGAATTTGTTTCTACGAGCAAAAGTTTTCCCTTGAAGACTGGATATACCAAAATGTTTGGACTTGCAGTAGCCTAACTCCCTGGGAGAAGCAGGTTTTAAAGAAAAAGGTCCCCAGTTACAGCATCCTTTGCTCTGACCTCCAAATGCAGCCATCTACACTTAGCCTGCCCTCTCTCTGAAAAAGGTATATGCTTGGGAACCAGCAGTTAGCGTAATGGCTATGTTGCTGGATTCCCACATAGTCGACCGCGGTTCGTGTCCCGGACCCGGTGGCTTAAAACTCACGCCGGGCGCATGTGCGTGCGTGCCCAAGATCCCGAGGGGAGAATGGAGGAGAAGGGATTGCGGCGTGACCATCCCCCCTGGGGGGTGATTTCTCGCTTTCTGTCTCTATGTCTCTCTCTGTCTGTCTGGCGAGCGCAAGCGCCCTATAGTGAAAATCTCTCCCCCCCCCAAAAAAAAAAGGTATATGCTTGTCGCTAACCAGCTTAATTTCTCAGTTGAGACTGTTGTCACTTGTTGGTTTTGTAGCATTTGCAAATCCTCATTTGTGTCATCTAATTGCACAGCTGGGAAGAGGTGCTACTTTAACAGTGCTGTGGGCCAGGAGCCCATGAGGATATCTCAGAAAGAGGGACACCTCAGCACTGCAGCAGCAGATGTCCATGAGGCCAGGAGGTTGCACCGGTGACAGAAGATGTCAGTAGAGCCCAGTGTTTCCTCCCAGGCCCAGTCACAGCTGCTGGGGCAAAGGTGCCAGGGCCATCTCTGTGGGCCAAATGGGATGGATGTGGGGACATCGAGGAGAGGAGGCCCTACCCACGAGGAGCAAGTGACCTGGCAGGGACCAAAGCAGACCAGAGATGATTTCAGGAGCCACCCTTCAGCTATATCCCCCAAACTAACAACTATATGACACAGTGGGATTTAACTGCCAACTACCTCTCCACAGTCCCACTTTGGAGTACTCTGTTCCAGCCTAAAGTGACCATCTGTTAGAATTCCTTGATCTTAGGGACCTTACCAGAGGCCACTTTAAAAAAATATTTAAATTTATTTACTATTATTTTTAAACTTTACAGAGGATATCTCACTAACCAGAGACAGAGAGAATGAGAAAACAAGTCACCAGGTCCAGGACTCAAACCATGGTGGGGCATGTGGGAGTCCAGTGCTTAACCATCATGCCACCTGCTGGTCCCAGTAGTGGCCACTTTTAAAGCCAATGTCTTCAGATGTCAGGGACTAGATGCTTATTCCGAAACTCATGACCTGAAAAACTAAATATTCTTCTCTAGTATATTTGAGGAAAAAGCCATGCAAAGGTTTGGAAATTGCTGAGAGCTAAATTGTTTTACTGGTGTATTTAGCACAGCCTGCTTTAAATTTAATAAACAGAAAACAGCATTTCTGAGTGATCAGGATAATGTTGAGAGCTCTATAAATTCAACATTAATAAAAATCACTGAATGTTTTGAGGAAAGGGAAGGAATGGGGCAGGCAAATGCCTTACCTTTCCTTTGCTACTAATTACATAAATTCCAATGTAGATTGCATTCAGATGAATGATAGATCTGAAATAACTATTTTGCATAATTAGGTTCATTGCATCTGATTTATCAAATGCCAACATCTTACTGAATATACTCTCCAGCTTGTATTTTCCAAGAATATGTTTAAATACAATATGCATTCCTACTGTCAATTCTTACTCCTGGAGGTTTTGATAACACGTTAAAGATTCAAACATTTATGTTGATAATCATTACATATAAATGTTGCAGAATTCACTAACAGTTATCCATCACTGGTAGATTTAGAGTTGTAAGTTTATCACTATTCCTTTATTTTGTGATCTGACAAATATGAAAAAAATGTGACCAGCTCACTGGCCTACTGGCTCAAAGACCAGATCCCACTGGCTGACTGAGCAGGTCTGCATGACCACGCCCCATTAGGGGTGCTTTCTCCCTCTCCCTCCCTCTCTGTCTTTGATGAGCACATTCACCCTCTGGGAGTGGGATGAAGCCACAGAATGAGGGACAATGAGAAGTCTTGCTGAACTTCTAGGTGGTAACATGATCTTTCAGCAAATGTAAAAATCTTCTTTTTTTAAAGAATTATTTATCTACTCAATTCCATTTGTTATTATTATTTTTACATTTGACCAGACAAAGACACACACACAGAGAGAGAAAGGGAAAGTAAAAAAGCAAGCTGCCAGGTCCAGGACTTGAACCGCGGTCAGCCATGTGGGAATCCAGTGCCTTTAATCACCAAGCCACCCACTGGCCCAAAAATACTCTTATTTTAAGCATCTACTTTGCATTAGGTAAGTTTTATTAGTACCATAAATGAATAAGAGTCCAAGACAAGAAGCAAAACTCTTAGGGTAAATTCTACCTCTGTGGGTGTGGACTTTCAATGTGCAGATATTAATAAAAATTATGCTAATAAAATGATCACATATTCGAAGGGTATATGTTGTGGTTTTTTTTTTTTTTTTTTTTTTTTTTTCCTTTGCAAATGCTCTCGGTAAAGCTATAAGTTCATGCTGTTTCCCTATGGAGGCACTTGTGCAAAACACTGTAGCATATTGAAGCATTATGCATAGCAGGGAATGAGACCAGGCATTGTAAAAAGAGCATTGTTAATAGTCCTTTGTATCCATTGAGATCAGGTTTCAGTTGGTCATCTATGGGCACAATTATGGACAAGACAGACAGAGGGACGCGGGAGAAAGAAAAGAGGCCAAGGAGTGGAAGGTCAGAAGTGCCACCGCTGGGATTCGTGTGCTCCCACCCTTGCTCAAAGAGAATGAATCAGATCCACACCAAACAAAACCTATTTTAGTTGGGGCAATATCAAGGAAAAAATTCTCACACAATTTCTCCTGGGAATATGCTCCAACATTTCACTAGATGGTGTACGTATTTGCTGATTCAAAGAAAATGTGCTTCCCTTGAGCAGTAATTTTCTTTTTCCATTACGGTCTATTGGACAGTGAGTTGCAAGCCTCGCACTGACTCAGAACACCGTTCATGAGTTTTTATGTCTTTGCCAGGAGCTGGAACTATGTTCTCATGATGCGGAAAAACGCTGGAGAAAATGTGACTTTGTCCAAAATGCCACAATGTCAAGGCCAAGTGTTCTCGCCAATTATGCTGATGGAGGACAACCCTGGGAACCTGACCTTGACTAGGCCACGGGTTCAGAATCACAGAATGGCAAAGTGCAACTGAAACGTGGGTGGGCCCAAGAGGAAAGGGGAAGCCGACCCAGAAGCCAGACCAACTGCACGGACAGTTTGCACTGCTACTGCAGCCAGATGTCCTGTCCTGAGAGTGTCCCACCTGCTTCTACAGAGCATTCCACCAGCAAAGCCTGCGACAGCGCCCACAATTCAACACTGATATTTCAATTCTGTCACGTGGTTTTGCTTTTCCTATTTGTCTTCTTCACACTCAAAGTTGGACTTGAGAGAGCTCAGGCACTGGGATTCTTCATATATGATGTGTTTCTGAAAAGTGTTTGAAGACTCATGTCTGAAATGAACATTTGGTTTATGGGCTATCGGAAACCTTGTGACACAGGGGTGAGAAAGGATGTCAGAGTCTCCCCGCATGTGCTCTGCTCGGGTCATGGGTCCTGCAGGTCCTAGAGGACCATGGAGAACTGACAAGCTGATCTAGGGCTGGACTGTGGGTAGCTGCTATACAAGAGCTACCATGTGTCTTGGGACCTCAGAGCCATCTCTTCATTGCCACTAGGGCCGACTTGAATCTAGGAGGGTTGCGAGCTAAGTGGCTCCGGATCACTGGCTGTGGTGCTGCTGCAGGGAGAGAAGAAGAGTCAGTCCTGTGGCAGAAAGGGATGTATGGATCCAGGGACTTAGGGAGGTGGCAGTGTGGACACTGGAGAATGGAGGGGCATCAGACTTTGGCTCTCCCTGGCTTCTGTTTGCACCCTTACTCCATGACTGCCAGTAACATGGACAGCTACTATGAAGAAGTCTGAAACCGTGGCTCGCGTTTCATTCTGCACACGACAGGTGGCTTTGGGATGAGATGTATAATGTTCAACAGATTGAGGTAAACAGAAATAGCATCGAAAGTAGTCATTTCACTTGTGCCAGTTTTGTGCCAGTTTTGCTCAAATAACTTGAAATGAGAAACCATGAATTGTGCCCCAGATCTGTCTCGAACTAGTTGGGTGAACCAAGGCAAGTCACTGAAGCTCTTTGATCCCTACTTTCCTAAAGTGTAAACACAGAGATAATGATATTCACTTACACAACATGGGATTGTTGGAGGATCAAGACCAGAGAGAGCATGTGAAAAAGTCCTGAGCGACTAATAAAGCAACATAAAAATCGCTGTTCTTGTGACATTTGATGTGAGTCACGAAATGATGTCACCTCATGCATATATAATACATCTTTTGATTTGACAAAAATAAAATAAAAACTAATATAAACTGTCCACATTTCAAAAATGATGTTGAAGCTTAATTTTGAAATATTCTAAATGATGAAGATTCTTCTAATTTTGTGAA